TTTCCCAGCCATTCTCACACGTGCCTTCCGTCAACCCTCACACGTGCTCACTATCTCCCGCGACCAATCAAAACGCGCGTGTCACGATATAAGGGCGCGAACATAGTAAACTCAGAAGTGAGCTCCACGCGCGTTCCCTTCCCCCTCAGCCTTCTCTCCTTTTCCACCTTCCCCACCCCCATAAACACAACAAAATCATTTTCTTTCACTTTCTTTTTCTCTCTCTATTTCTTTACCCCTTCGCTTCCATTTTCCACCAAACCCTAACCTTCAAAACCCTAATCCTAACTTCCGGTAACCGGCCGGACCATAATCTGGTCAAATCTCAATGGATTCCCAATTCGACACTGCCTCGCAACCCGACCCGGCCACCGACGCCTACACCTTCCTCGAATTCAACACCCAGGGTGAGTCCGACTTCGACTACCCGGACTTCCGTGACCCGATTCGTGCATGGCCTACCCCCTCTGACTCCTCCGCCGCCGATCGTTCTGCCGCTGACCACCATTCCGATGCGGCTGCCTCTTCTTCTCCATCTAGCGTTCCCAAAGGTTCTGGCCGTGCTGCCGCTAACAATAGCAATAATAATAGCAATAGCAACACTGGCTCCGTTGTGGATGCGTTAGCGTCGGGGATTAGTGGATTGAATTTCGAGGAGACGGTGGGGGATGATGATGGCGGGTTTGAGTACGGGAAGGGTGATTTCGCGGAGCATGCCTGTCGGTATTGTGGAGTTTCCAATCCGGCGTGTGTGGTTCGTTGTAATGTTCCTTCGTGTAGGAAGTGGTTTTGTAATTCGAGAGGGAATACATCAGGCTCGCACATTGTTAATCATCTGGTGAGGTTTTTCTTTTTTCTTTGCTTTTTCTGAACCTTTTATGTTTTTCACTATAGTTCTTATTTTGTTGAATAGTATGAGATGGGATTATTTTCTAGATGTTGAATGACATAATTATTTATGTTACACGCTAGAAATTTGGGGCTGATGTGCGGATTAGAACTGAAGTTTGTGTTTGGATATATATAAAGGATAGTAAGTAGGAATTATGGGTAGAGTTGCGGAGATGGTTATTCTATAGCTTTGTCAAGTATGTTGGTGTTTTAGACGTGTATTGTGCCCGATTTCTTCTTGTCAGGTGGCATTATGGCATCTTAAGTCTTGAAACATGCATGAAAAGAATGGTAGATTTAACTCATAAGGAGCCCCTAAAGATTCTCAATTAGGATTCAGGAAATGAATTCCTTTATTCATATGTTCTTGTAGAGTTAAATTGACAATTAATTTTGTCTATTGTTGCATCCTCTTTCAGGTGCGAGCTAAACACAAGGAAGTCTGTCTTCATAAAGACAGCCCTTTGGGAGAAACAATCCTTGAATGCTACAACTGTGGGTGTCGGAATGTTTTCCTTCTTGGTTTTATATCAGCAAAGACAGAGAGTGTTGTTGTTCTTCTTTGCCGAGAACCTTGCTTGAGTGTTAATGCTTTGAAGGACATGAACTGGGACTTGAGTCAATGGTGCCCTCTCATTGATGATAGGTGCTTCTTGCAGTGGCTTGTTAAGGTCGGTATTTCCTTTTTGTCATGTTAAAGTTCTTTCTCAGCCCATGGACTTGCTAATGTATTGTGCCTTTTCAGGTCCCATCTGAACAGGAACAATTGAGGGCACGCCAGATTAGTGCTCAACAAATAAACAAGGTAGAAGAACTTTGGAAGACCAATCCTGATGCCTCACTCGAAGATCTTGAGAAGCCTGGTGTGGATGATGAACCTCAGGCTGTTGCTTTGAAGTATGAAGATGCATACCAGGTGCCTGTGTTTAGAATAATTGCATTATTTATGTCTCATGGAAAAAGTTGATGAAGTTATAGTTTGTGTCAGGGCTATTTGCTAATTGAGTTGATGGTTTTGCTTGCAGTATCAAAATGTATTTGCACCACTTATAATGCTTGAAGCTGACTATGATAAAGTATGCATCATCACTTCATCCCCATCCTTTGATTTTCTTTTTCCTTTTATTTATTTATTTATTTTGACATTTGTATATGATCATTTTCTTCACACTGAAGGTTATTATCTCCATTTTGTAGATGATGAAAGAATCTCAAAGCAAGGACAATGTTACAGTTAGATGGGACATTGGGCTAAACAAGAAACGTATTGCATACTTTGTCTTTCCAAAGGTGCTCTTTCTTTTTTGGTTTTTGCCATTCTGTTTCAGCAAATTTTTGTTTCCAGTTATCTCTTTGCTTTTTTGTCCTTGTTTGATCTTTTTGAAAGTTTGTTTTAAATTTTTAGTTCATGTGAATGTAATACCAGCCTTTATGGGTTTGTAGGAAGACAATGAGCTGCGCCTGGTACCTGGTGATGAGTTACGACTTCGTTATTCAGGAGATGCAGCCCATCCTGCCTGGCAGGCAGTTGGACATGTGGTATGCTGCCTTCTTTTTCTTGACCACGTAATCATGGTTTTAATGCAACTATATGTGTATGTAATATGTAGAATGCTGGTCTATTGTGCTGTATGAATTTAATTTTAATTTGTCTTTCTATTTTTAGATCAAGTTAACTGCACAAGAGGAGGTTGCTCTTGAGCTTGGTGCTAGTCAGGTAGCTCTCTCTCTGTTCGTTTGTTTGTTTGGGTGCTTCACCTTGTAATGAGCGCTAATCATCACTGTGTTCAGGGAGTTCCTGTTGATGTGAACCATGGCTTCAGTGTTGACTTTGTCTGGAAGAGTACAAGCTTTGACCGGATGCAGGGGGCAATGAAAACATTTGCAGTGGATGAAACAAGTGTCAGTGGGTAGGATGGCTGTTTTCCCTGTGTGTGTGTGTGTGTGTGTTTGCCTTTACTAGAGTGTAGGGTTCTAGCGAAGACATTACCTTGTTAACATTTTTAGTTAATTGTTATGTAAATAAAATATGGCATCTCATTTGTTGAAAGAAAAGGGGATATGGAAATGGTTGGCTGGCTCATAATGCTTGATAATATGTTCTATAGTTATCTCTGCATTTTATTGTTAATGTAAATATAATTTGATATGTATGGTAATGTGGGATTTTATGTAATATTGGAAATGGTAAAGCTAATGGATTCTTGACCCCCTTTTTGTTATGGCAATTGTAACCTTGAGCCAGTTTTAACATGCATTTTCAATTTATGTTCAGTCTAAGCAAATGTCCTTTCTTTATCATGGGTAAGTTGGCTGTTTTTGTGTTAGCTTAGTTCAACTTGCTGTAGTATATCCGTACTGTGTGTTTTATTTCTGTATGTAATCAATGTCTTTACCTTGAAAATATTGTCGTTCTTGAGTGAAGTTTAATATTATTCTTTGCAGATATATATACCATCACTTATTGGGCCATGAAGTTGAGGTTCAGATGGTTCGTAATACACTACCACGGCGTTTTGGTGCACCTGGTCTACCTGAGCTCAATGCGTCTCAAGTTTTTGCAGTTAAGAGTGTTCTTCAAAAGCCTATTAGTTTGATTCAAGGACCACCTGGCACTGGAAAAACTGTTACTTCTGCAGCCATTGTATATCACATGGCCAAGCAGGGACAGGGGCAAGTAAGAACTCCAAATTACTCTTATGAATTATTCTTAGCATTATTTTCACTCTTTCTGATAGCTCAATTTTTTGTCAGGTTTTGGTTTGTGCTCCAAGTAATGTGGCTGTAGACCAGCTAGCTGAAAAGATAAGTGCCACTGGTTTGAAGGTAAAGAAACTTTGCTGTTTAGGAATATCTAATTTCAGTGACTTAAGCAACTATACCCACTTAGCTGAATATGATCAAGCAGTTTGCATGCCATTAGCAGTGGCATCATGTTGTAGCAATCATTACACTCAAGCTTGTATTTGTTTTTCCTGCACGTTGCACTGATGAATGCTATGCTTTGTAGCAAATATGAGTTCAGAAGCTTACACTATAATGTTCTTAATAGTCTCTTATTCCATTCATTCAATTTTCCTTTAATGATAAAATAAGTTGAATTAATTTTTCAATGACTTTGTTGTTTACTGAGTTTTTTTTTTTTTTTCTTTGACTGAAGGTTGTAAGGCTTTGTGCAAAATCAAGAGAAGCTGTTAGTTCTCCTGTTGAGCATTTGACCCTTCACTACCAGGTTTGTCTGGTTTTGGCCATCCCAAATATTATGGCATCTATGTCTGTTGATGGTTTTGCATTCTTAGCATGATTCATGTCATGCAGGTTCGACATCTTGACACATCTGAGAAGAGTGAACTTCACAAGTTACAACAATTGAAAGATGAACAAGGTCAGTACTCTTCTCCCTCTGTCCCTTATTTTTGAGAGGTTAACATTGGTCTTAACTACTAGAAATTGCAAAATATAGAAGTGTTTATATGCTGTATTGCATGCAACTCATTACAACAGTGATGAATGAAAATCTTATCCTACCAGCTGAATTCTACTAAATGTACATCTCATGCCTGAAACTTGGAATTTTTTATGTAACTTTTACTTTTTTATTTTGGCTAATGCATCCAAGCATTCTTTGTTAAATCCAAATTTTACAGGTGAATTGTCTAGCAGTGATGAAAAAAAGTATAAAGCATTGAAGCGTGCCACAGAGAGGGAGATATCCCAAAGTGCAGATGTCATTTGTTGTACTTGTGTTGGTGCTGGTGATCCTAGATTGTCAAATTTTAGGTTCCGTCAGGTTGGAATGCATTTATTTGATCATCATTGAAAATTGAAAATTTTAAAATGGCTAATATGTAATATTTGAACATCATTAAAGGGCTTAAAGTTTTCGTTTTCTTTGTTTCAGGTACTTATAGATGAGTCTACCCAAGCAACTGAACCAGAGTGTCTTATTCCTTTGGTTCTTGGGGTAAAACAGGTAATTAGAAATTAAAATAATAGGGCAATCTCTCTCCAGTCATCATGTACACTTTGTGTTCTAACAAGAATTTTCATTTTAGGTTGTTCTTGTTGGTGATCATTGCCAACTCGGTCCAGTCATTATGTGCAAGAAAGCAGCTCGTGCTGGACTTGCCCAGTCTCTTTTTGAGCGCCTTGTTCTACTTGGTGTGAAACCAATTAGATTGCAGGTAATTGGAATCATGCTTCTCAGTTGGCAACTTTGTTTCAACAGGGAAATGGACTGCCTCTATTGGGTGAAGGAACACCATTCTCTTGATACGTGTTTGAGTATGTTTTATTGCAAAGCAGGAAATTTTCCCTGTTTTGAATATTTTCTTTTCTTGTCAATTTAGGTCCAATACCGAATGCACCCATGTCTATCAGAATTTCCTTCAAACAGCTTCTATGAGGGCACATTACAGAATGGAGTGACAATCAATGAGAGGCAATCTTCAGGGATTGATTTTCCTTGGCCTGTGCCTAATCGGCCCATGTTTTTCTATGTCCAGGTTTGTGAACTGTTGTTAAGATTGTAAGAAGAAATACCAAAATAAACATCATCTCTACACTGTCTCACTACCTTTCCTTCCCCATGCCTCTCTTTTGACATATCTCCTTTCCCTTGCCAAGTTCTATATTTTTACTTGTTTATTTATTTTTGATTGCCATTCTATTTTTTTTTTTTTAACTTATATTATTTCATGGTTATGTTTTCTAATTTTATGGTTCTATTTTAGATGGGGCAAGAGGAGATTAGTGCCAGTGGAACATCCTATTTAAATCGGACTGAAGCTGCAAATGTTGAAAAGATTGTAACTACATTTTTGAGGAGTGGTGTAATCCCTAGTCAGGTATATTTCCTGGAATTTTTAACATTCATCTGTTTTTTTGATGTATGCCACAGTAAAATGTTGAATACTTCATACTTTTACAGATTGGTGTCATAACACCATATGAGGGTCAGAGGGCATATATTGTAAACTACATGTCAAGAAATGGTGCTCTACGCCAGCAGCTTTACAAGGAAATTGAGGTAAGATTTGATTTGACTAACGGCGCTAGAAGGTTTTATGATATCCAGTTATGTTTGTTTATTTATTAGATTTATCTCTCTCTCTCTCTCTCTCTCTCTCTCTCTCTCTCTCTTTTACTAACAGGTAGCCAGTGTTGATTCATTTCAAGGAAGGGAAAAAGATTATATTATTTTGTCTTGTGTGAGAAGTAACGAACATCAGGTAGGTTGATGTGTCCATTACAACATTTTCTTTCCTTGTCGAGGTTTGGTGCATAAGTTTATGATTTTAAAATTCCTATGCTCTTGTGACTTTTTCTGTTTTACCTTAGTTTATGGGGGAAAGTAGGGACGAAGTGAGTAAATTTTGCTGAATATTTATTAACTGATTTTTAAGTTCTAGTTGGCTGCATATATATTAATTAACTTTTTATTTAATTGCAAATCAGTGGATTCCCCATGAGTATGGAAGTAATATTCTGATACATATAAATTGTCTGCCTGTCACTCAATCTCTTAGAATTTCCAAGGACTAATGTTTGGGTGTTAACTTTTTTAATATTTTGCTAGGGCATTGGTTTTCTAAATGATCCTCGCAGGCTTAATGTTGCCTTAACACGTGCCCGATATGGTATTGTCATTCTTGGCAACCCTAAAGTTCTTAGCAAGCAGCCTCTCTGGAATGGTTTATTGACACACTACAAGGTATCTCCATATCATCATATGGGCAAATATTGAAACGAACCATTTATTAATATCACACAGGAGAACTTTGCTAACACCATAATTGGCCAATAATTTTACTTGAAATGCCAGGAGCATGAGTGCTTGGTTGAAGGGCCTCTGAACAACTTGAAGCAGAGTATGGTACAATTTCAAAAGCCCAAAAAAGTATGTATGAGATGAAAGGATAATTTGATTTTGTCTTTAATTTCTCATTTCCTAGTTGTGAAGGTTTTAAAATTTTTTGACACAGATCTATAATGATCGGAGACTATTCTTTGGAGGGGGGTCTGGGATTATGCCCAATGATAGCTTTGGGTCTGCTGCTTCATCAAGCCCAAATTCTGATAGAAGAAGCAGCCGTGCTAGGGGTAAGCTGTTGAGCATCTTGAATCTATAGACTGTTATCTTTATTTTCATTGATTTTTGACATTGATTTATAATTATCAGTTCTTACAGGCTTAGTATGTAATAGAAAGTTTATATCATACACCATTGGAACTTCCTTTTGTTAATGTTTTTATTGATTCTGTTCCTGCTTGACTTTTTTGAGCCTTCTCATCTTGCCATAGGTGCTTACATGCCACCTGGTCCACCCAATGGTGCTCACAAGCCTGGAGTCCATCCTGCAGGATATGCAATGCCTCGGGTTCCTCTTCCACCATTTCCAGGTGGTCCTCCTCAGCCCTATGCTATTCCTACCCGTGGAGCCATACATGGACCTGTTGGAGCTGTTCCTCAGGTTCCTCAACCAGGAAGTCGGGGGTTTGGTGCCGGGCGTGGCAATGCTGGTGCCCCCATTGGCAGTCATCTTCAGCACCAGCAAGGCACACAGCAAAATGTTGGAACTATAGGATCTACTTTTAACTTTCCTGCCCTGGAAAATCCAAATACCCAACCATCTGTCGGCGGTCCATTATCTCAGCCTGGATTTGCAAATAATGTCCGTACTGCATCTTTCCCATTTTCCCATTTAAAAAATTTCTGAACCTATCAGTGCTATTTTTTCTTTCTGGCATTCTTAGTGTGATTATTATGTGTAACAGATGCCAGTTCAAGGGCCAAGCCAAGCATTTCGTGATGGGTTTTCCATGGGGGGAATGTCCCAGGTAATGTTGTCACTTTGCAAGGACAATTCTTTTATTAAAATATTTTTTTACCAACTTTTTATTCATTTTAATTTGCTATGCATCAGGACTTTTTGGGTGATGACTTCAAAAGCCAAGGATCCCATGTTCCTTATAATGCTACTGACTTTTCTACACAGGTATGTCATATGTGGCATATTTAGCATCTAATTGTAACTTATGGTTGGGGTTTGGGATATATCCATCCCCCAGATAAAATATTTTCAGCATCACATACTCCTTGCAAATTATGGTCGGGTTTATTGATGTTTATATCAGTCTATGATAAAATATCATCAAGTGCTTGGTGTTATTAGTTTGTTTGAAGGGCTGGGATAGATATACCAGAGTAGAGCTAGAGATGCCAAATCAGAACTTAATCTGTCAAAACCAATAAATGCAAAAACATGAAAATATTGTATCAAGGTCTAGTTAGATGTATGGTAGAATATTAGTTGAGCAAATATGGTGGATGAGAGAGAAGGTCCCTTTAAACAGTGAAAGAGGACACTGACCATTGATTTCGGGTAATCTGTATGTTTTTAATCCCTGCGTAGTTGGCAGCCAAAAAAAATCTCTATGGTTTCTAAACATAGAAGTTTCTTTTTCTTGTTTGATGGGCTGATAGATGACAGGAATTCATGTTTCATGTTGACACAGGCTTCTCAAAGTGGTTATGCTGTAGATTATGTCACACAAGGAGCACAGGGTGGGTTTCCTGGAAGTTTCTTAAACCAGAATTCTCAGGCTGGATATTCACGTTTTGGTACAGGGAATGATTTTATGTCTCAGGTTTGCTCAATTTGCCTTTCCTTATTAGGGTTAGTTTTCTACCTCCCCTGTTTATGTCTTAAATGTTTTTTCTCTTGTACAGGACTACATGACTCATGGATCGCAAGGTCTGTTTACTCAGGTTGGCTACAATGACCCCTCACAAGATGATGCGTCACAGAGTCATTTTGGTGTGGCCAATGCTAACACCCTTCAGTCTCAGGTTCTTCTTCTTCTGCTCCTGCTGGTTTATTAAGAACTCCTTGGGTAAAATTTTAACTTATGGCAAGATAGGAAGATTTGTTGTGAATGCCTTTGGCCAAAGCTCGTAACCTTCAAGTGCTTGGGCAATATGTCTGATTACATGGCTGCCACATTTTATCACTTCTGTGACTGGGTAGTACTCTGTTAACATCTACGTTGAATTGATATGACAATCTGTTACCTCTTTGCAGGGGTTGATGAACTCTCTTTACTCCCAGCCATTTACTCATTACAACACACAGCCATTGAACTTGCAGGCTTCACAACAACAGCCTCAGCAGGGTCAGGGATCCCAAAACCAGAAACTTCATTACAATGGTTAAGACAAAAGGATGCATTATGTGTGACGGGTTATATAGTCTATGCATTCAGCGACTTGGTCTGTGCTGTCCTTGCGTGCCCCAGTAATCCTGCTATATGAAGTGCACGATGTTGCCGGTTTTGATATCAGTTTAATTCTGTCCGTAACCCATTTGGAGATGATTCCAGATGGTAGGATTAAATACAATTCAAGTGAGGCGGTGGCTGTGGGGGCACAAGCAAACATGGACAGTGCATCCAGGCCCTGAAATATTTAAGGATAACCCCATTACTTGCTCAAGGTTTGCATTATTTTGAAAGAAGGTAAATTGATCTAAGGAGAGCATATTCATGACAGGGTTTTGCGGAAAGGGTTTGACGATGGACAAGGGAGGAGGGCATTTATCTGGGTAAAACCCATTATATTTATGGAAGCGGTTAACCATTGGAATTTTGTACAGCTTGCTGGAGGAAGTCAGCCCTACCCTTTTCAGCTCTTCCTGACATGTAATTGTACTCTACATTATTATCTGTTCGACAATGACGAATATATAAGATTAGAAAGTGTTTTCTAGTGGGTGGTGCTGGTCGTACATAAAATATTGATGAGTATGATGGTTTGTTTTGTGAGAAATCGGGATGGCTTGTTTATGTTAATCTTAACGTGGATATCGTGTCGTATATATCGTACATTCTCTGAAATAAATGGGTTTGGTGTCTATCACTTGATTACTGCTTAAATTTCAAGCAGGGGAATACCAACTTAAAGGCATGAATATTTTTTAAAAAATAACTGTTAGATTTAGTTTTTTAATTATGTAAATTATATATGTTTAACTTTAAATTAATTGAATATGTATAATTAGTTTATTGATTATGAAAAAATTATTATCATTGTAAAATATATAAAAAATATAAATTTATTATTGAATGATTATAGATGTTAGTTCAATTTAAAAGTATGTATTGCATGGTTTAAATTAATAGAATATCAAATGAAAGTTAGTTTTTAAAAATATTTATTAAGGAGTAATGTTTTCAAATTAGAATTCTAATTTTTTGCAGAAGTCATAATTAATATATATTATTATATTTTTTTATATAAAGTAATTTCTTTTATATTACTTATAATAAGATGAAATAAATTGATCATAAATAGTAACAACTCTCTCCATGTTAGGGGTGGTAACAAAGCCTCGTGGGGTTGGGCAGTACCTCTATCTCTGTTCTCGAAAATGATAAGGACAAAGATTTTTGAGAGAATTTTTGATGGAGGTAGATTTTGCCCCATCTTTAATCCTTGTGCCCATCCCCTATCAATTTATATCAAAAATGTAAATTTTATTATTAAAATATAATCAATTAATGTTCAGCATTTTGTGGCTCAATGACTATTTTTTGAGACGTATTTAGGACTAAAGAGCTTGGAATCAAATCCCAAGTACCCTTTTCCCTTCCCCTAAAAAAAAGAATTCTACACTGTTTAAAAAATATATATATATAATCAATTAATATTCAAACACAATAAATAAAATTTTAAAAGTTCAAGTACAATTAATTTTTTTTTGAACAGCAAACTTCAAGTACTATTAATTAAACTTCTCAAAATATAAAATCAAATATAAATTCTCTAAACATAAATAAAAATTAATTCGATTTAATTTAATTAGGTTAGACTCACATATGTGTTGGGTTGGATTGTGTGAAATTTGATTAAATTTAATTTTTACTAATTAGATTTGAAATGTATTGTGATGTATTGAGTTGAATTAAATTTAAAATCAAATTAATTTATATATTTTTTTAATTTTTCACAAGGTCTCATGATATGAGAAAAATTCCTTATATAAATTTAGAAAGAAAAATACTCTCCCTCCTCACTTCACTTCTCACTTTATGAGAAAGAATATTCTTTTTAATCTTATCCCGCGATAATATTCCCTTTAGATCCCATAAAAATATGAGAAAATTACCATCTCTATTTCATGTCATTGTTATTTCCTGTTACACTTTACTATATAGATTGATCAAAGCCATCCAACACCAAAGGTTTAGGGTCTATTTAGTACTTATTTTTGGTTTTTTTATTTCTATTATAAAAGATTTGTAATTTACCACTCAACCCATTAGTTGCGTTGCTGATTAAAAACAGAACGGATCCTTAATTTCATTTGCCGATTATTTTTGGTTTTTATTTTTAAATTTTTTTCCCATTTTTGCAGTTCCAGGCAATTGACTGAAGCCACTGAACCACTAATCCCTTCGACGACCTTTTTTTAGTTGATTGGTAAGTATGGAAATTGGAAAATTTTCTGATGAGTTCTATTCCAATTTTCGGGTATTGATAAAACAAAAACACCCCTGCTTCCAACAACGCATGAGGCTTTCGTCGTCGTCGTTTTCTTTCTTTTTTTTGGCTTTTCCCGTCCATTCACCTCTTAGGAGAGGAGCTTATAATCTAAGTTACAAGATCAAGCAAATCATCATCTGTCCATGATATAGATATTATCCAGAGATGCAATGCTGGTTCTCTCTCTAAAATTTCTAGCAGAAATAATATATCATAGTTGGGAATTTTCTCAGGTTTGAGTTCGATACTACTGTGAACTTGAAAACAAAAAATAATATAGAGAATTTTTTTTCTATTTGAAAAGAATAGTGGATATGCAAGTACAGTTAAAAAGAAGTATTGAAACGTAAAAAATAAAAACACATTTGCAGCTATGTACCGTTCTTAAGCATTGAAGAGCTTCCTGAAAGGGCCATCCTTCCGATCTTTAGCAGCTTCAGTTAAAGCAAGAAACCTCTTGAACCCAGTTGTTGCTGCACCCCGTCCAAGTGCTGCTGCCCTTGTTAGCACATCCTCCCGAGAAGCAATAAATCCAACTGAAGCAGGATTTATAACGGTTGAAGCTGAAGCCCAAGCGGAAGCTGGAGTCAGAGCTGTAGTGACAACTGAGGGAAGCGGGGCAGCTGGGCCTACTGATGCTGTACTAGAAGGTTGTGAAATTGCTGGAGCACCTTTGTTGAAGTCATCCAGTATACCCTGCTGATCTGCTTTCTTGAGGCCCTGCATTCGGAAAGTGCATTTTACGTTATCAATTTCACCGTTAAATTACAACCACAGAAAAACCAGTATGTTGGAATTTCCACGGTCAACATAGAGCAAAAGGAAACACGCAATTGATAGTCCCCAGCCATTTCAAACAATAGACTAAGCCATTTAAAGAGCGATTTAACTTCACCTTTAGTTCCAGAATACGCTGGAACTCCATAGGTGTTCCCTCTGGTAGCAATGCACGATATGTATCTGCAACAGAATCAACTGGAGAGAGTATGACCTGTAAAATGATTATGAAATAAACTTACATTGTAATAAAATTACTTGTAAACAGCCAAAATATAAATGATCAGTAAGTCGACAACGAACCTTCAAAAGTGCTTCAGCTTTGCTCATCTCACGACTAACAAATTTTGAGTAGCCAGCAGCACCAGATGTCTGTCAAAAAGAAATAATTTAATCAGGTTTCGCATTTTTATTTTTACCATACATTGACCCAGAAACACTTATGGCATCAAATAGGACAGCAAAGTATGATACAGGAAAAAAATCCAGATATATAACACAAAAATCATACACACTAACCTGATGACCAAGCGAAGGAATGTCCAGAAGAATTGTCTTTACAGCTTGAGTATCCAATAGCATCTGCAAAATGATGTCATTCATCATCTTCAGACTCCAGAGTGCACAAACCAATCACAAATACAACTTCCCAACTTTGTCAAGAATGATACACAAGTTGTAAAAGCCTTCAAATTCTACTTATAGGTGCAACCGCAAAAATGAAACAAAAAGATAAAAGGGAAAGAAAACAAATATGATCAGTACTTGTTGGGCTCCAGTTTCTGATATCTGTTTGCATTTGAAAATGTTGGCATAGAACCGTGGCCCAAGCGATGATGCAAGCTGCAGTAAATAAGAAAGGAGCCAATTAAAATTTGCGGAAGTTCATTATTTCATTGCTATGAGTCAACAAGCATGGACAGAACAACTTTGATGCATGCAGATGTACATCTTTAAAGTGTTTACCTGCACACCTACATGCATGCCAGGCAAGGATGTACAGAACAAATTTAAAAATTAACCATACATTTAACACTGCAGTACATTAAGTAGTAGAGGACCTATTTTTCTCTCTATAATCACCTTGTCCAAGAAGAACTGGAAGTAAACAGGTGAAAGCAGGCTCCCAAGCACAGGAATACTACTGGTAAGGATCATATTGATGCCATTAACATACCTGCAGCAAAGTTGCTAAGGTTAGATTTAGGAGCTGTCCCTGGCCTTAGTAAATTCCAATTCTTAAAGGAACACGTCTTACCCTGATTGGTCCCCAACACTCTCAAGGGTGCCCCATGGAACACGTGTCATTGCAGCCATTTCAGCATCAAATTTAGTTTCCAGGCCTTGCACTAGGGTAACCAATGCTTTGGTTATCACTGCTGAAAATTCATCCTGCAAAATTGCAAGCCTTTTAGAAATAAAAACAGATCTGCCAAGGAATGAATCAGTTAAGGAATAAGCAGCACCTGAACTTCTGACATATCCACTCGATCAGCATATTGTGAATCAATTATTTTAGATACACTTTCCGCCAGTTCACCAGACTGTAATAAAAAAAAAAACTCAAGTCAGTAAAGCTCTAAATTGATTCCCAGTATCAATGGCAAGACTAAATAACCTCAAAACATGCTGCTATAACAGTCATTCACAATATAACAAACACATGAAATATTCAACGATGAAACTGAAAGGGTGCTTTTGTATTCTAACTATGAATTCAAAATTCAGAAACTGACCGTTTTATGGCAATATTCAGCTGAATTCACAATATAACAGATCACTCTTTCATCCCTGTCAGATGTCTGTATGATCACAAATGCAAAATAAAACATTAGTATCTGCCACCATCAAGAAGCGCTTCTCAAAACACCTGAAAACTCAAAACAACTTGACTTATAGCCTTATACCTTTATCTGTCCGTCCATACCAGTAGCTGCTGCAACAATTCCTGTACCACCCTTCGGTAGTCTAGCAAAAAGCTTAGTAGCATATGCTTTGAGGACTCTTTGAAATACCTAAGTATGTATATAGGAATGAGATGATATATGAATAAAAAAATATTCTTGATATTCTATTAATGCAATAATCTGGTGGGTGAAGTTGGCTCATCTCTTCATGGTCATTTGGGTCGGTCAGTAATTTTTGTAGCTACTGGACTCTTACCTTGACAATTGTATGCAGAATAGGTTTTTATCATTTTGCTAATTGTTGGTGAAGATTCATTTTATAACTAACTCTTGTGCATCTAAATATATCTGTAATCTCACATGTATAAAAACTATCCACATATACTATGAAAACATGAAGAAAAACTACTTTTTTTTTTTCAATGCGTTTCTACAATATTTTGTTCATTCAAGGCTAACAACTGATCTTCAGCTGCAAATACATCCTTATCTAATACTGTCATCTCCACCTTTAGGTTCTATCATATCCACTTATCCAGAAAATGGTGGCTGAAAAACTATTACACCTATACATGTATTCTTCCTCGTATGTCAACAAGGGATTCTAGTCTGTGTTGATAGTGGGAAAGTAAGTCTTCGATTTGGTGAAGCAACTAATGTTTTAGCAACAGAACCAAAAACAAAGGGAGTAGATTTCAAGAATGCACCTTGAACAAGTTAAATAGAGTCTGGGTCTTTGTCAGAGCACTGCAGCGCTTTAGGCTCCTTTTGATTATAAGAAATAACTAAAGGAAAAAAAACACAGGCTAACAAAGTCAGTAGGGGGATATGCTAAATAATTCCTTTAACATAATGTGAAAGACAGAATAATTCCTTTGTATTGCTCCCATCAATACAAAAACACAATAGAGTACAAACATAACAAGCAGAAGAGTGGACAAGTTATGATCATTTAAACAGACTAAGCTAAGCTTGCACTTTCGGAACATGTCAAAAACCAACACAAAATCCCAGTAGGCACTCCATATTCCAGAAGTAGAGAAACAACAGAAACAGTCTCAATGTTACCTGCATGCTACTAGACAAAACATTGTTCTGACTTCCTTCCTCAACATCCCATGTTTCTTCCTATGAAATTATGTTTAAAAAAACAGCAATGAGCAAAATGCAAAATAGAATTTATGCAATATAGACTAATCCAAATTATGTCCAAACTACCTGAACAAGTTTCTCAAGATTCTCCATCAGTGTCTTCTCCTCTAATTCTACATACACTGTTAAGTGAGGCTCAAAGCAAGATGAAACAATTCCTCGGAAGTTGAACTGCCAAATTAAAAAAGACAATAACCATGAACAACCTTTCTAAGATAAAGGATTGAAGCTGCAGTAAAGGAACCACCAAACAAACAGATCTAAGAATGGAGAACATGCTTTGAATGATTGATGGATTCAAAAGGAAAAAAAAAAAAAAATTCAGACCTCTTGTAGGAGATGAAACTCAAGATCTGAAATTTGAATGTTTTTTCTAAAATTTTAAATATTCAAATGACTATCAATGGACTTTAAGGCATTATTATAGTAATTCAATTTTGAAGTAGAAAGTGATATGCAACTCCCAATTTTTAAACTAGAATAATATCAACCACCTTAATGGCATGATATGCCTTAACTTTGGAACAAGAGTGGTTTGCAGCAAAAACGTGTTGGTGGTACCAACTCAAACTATTGGTATAAGTCTCTACCACGTATAAGTTTCCAAAGAAAATGCAAAAGAACATGAAGTTCAAATAAATTTAAAGCAATGAATGTCTGAGATGCAAGTTCCATCATCATAAATAGGCTGTTTACACTAATAACCCTTATTATGTGAAAAATTTTGTTAGTTAGAAGATTAAGATATACCCCAGCTCCAGGCACTGACAGGTCTTTGTTTCCATCCTTGTCCTGTCAACAAAGTTGAAAGAACCAATTGGTAACAAAATTCTGATATTCTTCAAATCAAAATTTTTTTCCATTTCAGTCAAAACGTAAATCACGCCTTTCCAAAAAAAAAAAAAAGTGAAAATGTAAAGCATACCTCACTCCCATTTCCTTGATGTGCAGCAAGCTTTTTTTCATACTTTTTTCGAATATCTGATACATTTTGACTATTGTTCTGCCCTTTACCAATTTCTTCAATGTCATTTCCAATATCTCTGCTCTGAGCACCACCTCCAAATTTCTCTGCCAATTCATCCTCAAATTCTAGAGTTCTTTGTAATGCCTGATGACAGTTCAAAAATACATAAAAGGTTCCTTAACCCGGGTAATTACCACTGGGGTGATCACACCTAGGGTGTTCCACACAGCTCTTCTGGGTATAAAAATTTCCATATGAAATGATATCAACCTCAAAAAAAAAAAAAAAGTGTAATCCTAGCTACCTACTAGGTGTAAATTAAAGTAACAAAATTGATGTAGAAAGCTCTAACTAAACACTTCTAAACAAATTTGGGATTGCTCAAACAGAATCTTCTAGAAGTATCCGCTATTCAACATTCAGGCAGAAAATATGGCTTACCAATAATAAAGTTGCAACATCAGGCTTTTCTTTCAGGTTGTTGAGGATCCCCTCTAGCTGTTTTCTGAAGAAGAAAAGAATGTAAAGACAATCCAAAATCTATATAATATTATTCTACAGTAAAATAACTTGTTCAATAGACTCAATTTCTTTTAAGCATCACAAACTTGATGTTCTCTGTATTTTTCTTTCAGGTTAAGTTCCTTCTAAGTATAAGGAGTTGACCCATCCTCTTATTCACCTCCTCAGTAACAATTGAGAGATGGATGTCATCATAGCATGCAAGCAATTAAACTAATAATTTTTCAGAAATTATTGACCTGAAAAGAACTACTAAGATTATATTAGCTATAAAAAGCCAAAGAATCTAATGTCTTTTTCTTTTCAACTGGTGGCAAGTATTAGTCCCAGAAAGTAACAGACTTACCAGAGTACTATAGTATTTCTAGGGCCACAAAGTTCATAACCTACATCTTCTAATTTAGCAACAAAAGGAAGCATATCTACTTGTTAGATACCAATTTTCTTGTTTCCTAGCACCACCAATGTGCTTCAACTTCTAGTATAAGATTCCTACATGATTGCCAGTGTTTTAAATACAAAAATAGTAGTAATGAAGATTATAGAAATTATACATCTGCCCTTACAACCATAAGTTATATTTAAGCAAACAAATTCTTAGGGCTTTATGTTAGAGACGCAAGATACACCATACCTTGTCTTCTTACAAAACTGGATGCAGAGCCGATAAGGGACAAGCCATGAAGTAGGAAAAATTTTCCAGATTTCCTCATTTGTTCTCATTCGACGCTTGATCCAAGCATATCTTCGTTCTGTTTTATCCAATTTAGCTAGTTCTAGAAAAATAGCAAAATCAATATTTCAGAACCATGAAATCAGTAGTGGACACTTTATGCATATATGTACTAAAGATGGATGCATGCAATAAATAAGGATAAAGCCACACAAACCAGCTCCTTCAAAAATCTGTTCATATGAAGTAAGCTCCCTGCTACAGAAATTATTTACTAATTCCTCTCGTACAGATGGCTCCAAGGCATCAACGACAAGACAAGCATCAGATAACTGCTGCAGCAAATTAGTTTCTTCTGTCTCTTTCCCAGTTCCTAGGCTGAGATTAAAATGCAAAGAGTATGAGACCTAAAAAATAAACCAAATTGATTTGTTTGCTGGTAAGAACTGGTGTGATGAGAGGATATATAAATATGATTATTTAGAAACCTGCACCAACGCACAGACTAAACATGAGAATTTCAAACAAACCACAAAAGTTACCCAAAAGAAAATAGTTTTTTTTTTTTTTTTTCTTCTCTTCTTGTTTTAATACCATAATAAGTCCCTATCCAGGCCAAGATTCTATCACTTTAACACCTTAAGACAGCATCCATGAATAAAAAAATGAGTTGGCAAAGTCTAATGTCAGTGCAAAAATTATTTTAGAACTACAAATGTTATATCTTATAACTATACTTTTTCATCAGAGATAAAGTGTTTAAATATGCACAACATGCAAAGTGCAACCTGTGCATTTTCATCACACTTGAATCACAATTAGTAAGAATTTCCAAGGTCTCCATACAAGTATACAACATACTAATTTTTATCATGAGAATGGACTTCCAAAAATTTTATTCCTAGTAAGCAGAAGAAAATCAAACTCAAATATCACATACCTTGAGAAATCAGAAAACACATGTGATTTCATTATCTGTTTAATATTCTTAAACCTCTCTCTGAGCTCAGTGATTTTTGGAATATCCCTATAGGCTTCAAAATGACTACATAACTGGTTTACCGCCTGAAATGCATCATAGATCATTATTCTTAAACAGGAATATGCATTTATAAATTATAAGGTAATAATGCAATACTGAAGCAAAACTGAAAAAAACGTCAGAGGAAATCCTTTTGCCGGTTTCAAAGAATAAATAAGTAACATACATAAAGAATGTAGAACAAGATAATTGCAATAGGTAAAAGGCTCATTGAAACAAATCTAAAACAACTCAAAACTGAGTTGGCAGAAGAACTTTGTTCTATCTTCTATGTAAAAATAGATTTGCTGAATCCAAAAATAATTAGTCATTTATCCTGGCCACCAGTCTAAACAAAAACAAAATAGATATGAAACAGCTTTAAGATCAGAAGACAAGACATAGATGACAAATGTGGTATTTAAAAGGTAAAACTTCTTTTAACCTCTCTAGCTCTAGGGCTGCAGAAATCAAAAACAACTAAGCAAGAAGGTACCTCTAGCTGTGCAGCTGCCTCCTTATATTGTCGTTTTGAAGCCATGACTTGAAGTTGCTCCACAGCAGAAACTGCAATGCTAGGAAATGGGTATTGCAGTAAGATTCCATAGAAGAAATTGCAATTTTTAATGGCTGAAATTATTATCAAATGATAAAAGTTGCTGCACTTTATAGGATGTCCCACAGACATTTATGTGCAACCACCCAACTGAAAGAATCAATGATCCACCTTTCAAATAATTTGGTAAAATAAGGAACAGTATAAATATCTATAAATGCTTTGCAAGCATGTAAACATGAAAACGACGAAAAGTTGTAAAAATAGTTATTCTAGTAACCAAGCCATGCACTCCTCCAGAGACAAGCAATCATACATGAAAAACTGAGAATAGATCTTTCTTACAATCTACTCTTAATTTCAGGCTCAGGAAAGATTGGTTTCCACAGAACCTGCTTACCATGACAAACTATAAAATCTTAACCACAACTCAATCTAAATAAATATAAGTGGATTGAGAAGAGGAAGATGGGAGAAATAGGGAGCCTAACCTAGCATGGTAAGGCGATGAAGAGCTGTAATTGTAGTTGTAATGTGTTTTTTTGCGAAATCTAGCTTCTTAATATCACGACATATTTCTTGAACCATCGTCTCGCTTTGCTCAGCTTTTGTTTTTATCTCACGAATCTTGTACATGAGTTCCTGTTTATCAGAGTACCCAATTAATTTTGAAAAAAAAAAAAGAAGAAAAAGCCAAAGAAAAAAGTTAGAAAACCCAAAATCTAATGCTATTTTTGTTGGCAATTAAGTGGCACAGTCAGTCCGGCAGCTAAAACTCTGAAAAGAAATGCTTAAGCTAAAGGATTCCAGTGATACAAAAAGCTTTGATTTCCTCCTGAACAGCATTAGAAAATTTTATAAGAACTAACCTCCACAGCATGTGTAGCAGCAGCAAGATCTTCCTTGGCTTTGGTTCCGGAGTTACTCTGAAACCACAATGCCATGACTGTCAAATGACTTAATATAACCATGAAATCAATTCCATCCTGAAGTCAATATATCTGACTCTCTCTCAGTCAAAGGCTTCAATCTCCTTACAACCAAAGTACAAAAATCATTCTAAAACCATACTTTTGCACTTTGGTTGAGTATATTCCAACTTCTCATAAGAAAGAGGTCTCACTACAAAACATCAGGAAAAAAAAAAAAAAGAACCTTTCTCTTCCTAGTTTCCTATTTTTCAAAATAATGTCTAAATTTTCCTAGAAATAATTCCTTTTGCAGTAAATAACAAACAATTTCCTAAAAATTTCCCGGAGTTCCAAAGAATAGGCCAAAATTCGCTACAATCCAGAAGAAAGGATCATCACCTGTTGACGAACAGCAGCCAATATTCCAGCATCCACACGACGAATCTCGCCCTGTATCTTTTGCATTAGTGGCTCGACGCCAGATAGAGAAGCCTCTGAATATGGAACACATTGTGAAATGTCAACAAGAGAACAAGATGAGCTCTAACAACACTTCATTAACAAGCACAACCATGGAATCGAATCAAACACTTGAATTCTATCCATCACTCTTCAAATTCCATGATTTACAACACCTCACCTCAGATCCTGCTATTAACTTACCTGTCGGAAACATCTGGTTGATGTATTCCAATGTACTCATTTTATCCATTGCTTCACCAAAACTGATGCTATCCACAATCTGCAAAACATGAAGTTATCAGATCAGGACGGCGATTTGAAGCGCCGATATCTCAATACACCGAGCTGGAAATCGGTATGAGGATTCTATCAATAGCTTGATCGTGAAAACGAAGAAAATGATTACCGTTGCCGGTGGGAATTTTGCCGCCGATCTGAAATAAGGCTAAACAGAGAGTGCAACGGAGGAAGAATAGAAGAAGTGTAAAACTTGCGGTCTCAAACTGATATGGGCCTTTAAGGGCCCTTTTTTATTTTTTTGGACTTTTTAACGGGCTTTTTCTTTTGTCTCTGAGTGGGCCTAGATGAGTTGGGCTCTTCATATCATAACTGGTCGGGTCTCAAAAACAGCAAATTTTTATAAGGTTAAACCACAAGTCCCTGAACTTTAGTATGAACCCTGATTTGGTCTCTAAACTAACTACATTTCTGTTTTAGTTTCTAAATTATTATATTTGGCTTCTAAACTAGATAAACCCCAACTTTTTTAGTCCAAAACATGGATTTATTTAGTTTAGGGACCAAATTAGGAATTTGTTCAAAAGTTTAGAGACCAAAATTGAGTTTTAACTAAATGACAATTTATTATTATTATTTTTTTAAATAGGGATACAAATATGGGGTTGGGGGGATTCGAATTTTAGCCCTCGGGAACTGGCGGATGCATCTTACAAACTGGCCTATGACCATTGGGCCGTGAGGCCCAGGTGCAATGACAATTTTGTGATTGAATAAGTTTTAAAACCAATTTAAATAATGAATTTTATCCACATGATTAATTTTTATTATGTGAAATTTTTACATCATTAATTAATAATAAAAAAACACTAAGTTTTACCACCAATTACTAATTGAATAATGATGAATAAAACTAAAATTTAGGGTTAATGGTATTAAGTTATTTAAAATGTTAAAAAATAAATATTATATTATTTAATGATTGATTCTTTTTGTTTTTTTACATTCATAATATTATAGATATTAACTAATTTAAAATTTTGATATAAATTACATCATTAATTTCAAAATTTTGTCATCCCCATTATTACTCTTACCAATGTAAGCTAAAATTTAATGAAAAAACCAAAAAAATAGCTAAAAATTTGAAACTTTAAAGACAAAAAATATATTTATTTACTTTAAAAACCAAATCAAAATGGTATTAAAACTAAAAAATATAGCTAGACACTAAAATTATTAAAGAATTGTAAAGTATTAAAACATTTTAATAATTTAAATACCAAAATATCTTAATTTTTATTTTTTTAAATTTCTACTATATTGTATTTTCAACAGTTCAGCACTTGAAAAAGAGAAAAACATAAATCTTAATTTATTTTGTTCTTGAACGTATGCGCTTGTGCCGACCTCAGATCAGAGTACAGCTGTGCGTAAACGTAGCTTGGACTCGTAACGAACGACTTTCCTCCTCCTCGCTTCACTCATCGCCTTCTACTATTTTTCTCTGCCTCTTTAATATTATTAATTAATAATAATAAAAATAATAAAGAATTTAAATACCAATTGCTTTTATAATTTAATAATTATTTATTTTTATTAATAATAAAAAT